AAAACATACTCACAGACAAAGCGTGTATAAAAAGCTTTTGCATAAGAAGATGGCCACAACGGCAGGCAAGGTGTTCCAACTGTCAGTGCGGTATAATGGCTGACGCGTTTCGGGGACGAGTCCCTTTCCTCAGGGCTGCTGACCAGCCTCTTAGACTGGTACAGATGTGTAGTGTATAAGGAGGACCGATGGTTTGAACAACGTTGCTGCTGATACCTGTGGGCCACCATTACAGCAGTAGTTTAATCTGCATTGGGCTGGCTCTTGAGAAAGGGTAATGTAAATATTAAAATGCTACGATAGGCGGGTGGCAGTCTGGAGGAGTGTTGCATTTGCATGCAGACCGCCTTAGGTATTGCCTACATGCAGGGGCGGACTGACAACTCATGGGGCCCCCGGGCAATAGGGGATCATGGGGCCCCTGTGGCCAAACTCAAAAAAGCCTATGAAAAAGGTACCAGGGGCATCTCATGGGGCCCCCTACTGACCCCGGGCCCTCGGGCAGTGCCCGAGTTTCCAAATGGTCAGTCCTCCCCTGCCTACATGTGATGTTGAGCCTTTATGATTGAAAGAACTGGAATCCAATAAATGAAAGGGGCGGGTCAGGGAAAGGACGGGTGGAAAGAGATGAGCTAGAATTTGGGGTATCAAACTGGTGGCCCTTCAGCTATTGCGAAACTACAAGTCCCATCATGCCTCTGCCTTTGGGAGTCACGCTGGTAACTTTCAATCTTGCAATGCCTCATGGGACTTGTAGTTTGGCAACAGCTGGAGGGCCACCAGTTTGACACCTGTGAGCTAGATGATGCCAGATGGCCACCAGCCAAGAAATGAGGTGGTTTCTATCTGTCTTGCAGCAGCTTCTAATGCGCATTGTAAGAAGCTCACAGTGTGAAGTGAAATCAGTGTAAACCAGACACAGGAGAGGAGCCGGCGCAACTGCTGGTTCTCACCAGTGCACAGGGCTGCTGTTAGAAACTACAGGGCCCTATAGTTTGCCCCCCCCCCCCCAAAAAAAAAACCCCCATTTACTATGCTTCAGTTACGAATGAACACAGTGAGTGTCCGGTACCGATCACTCATTGTGTTGATTCAGGAAAGGAAGGGGCTGGTAAATGTGACATATTTACCGGGCGCTTCCCCCACTTTCTATTCTGAAGGATCCTATTGTGTGCTTGCAACTGCCAGTGGGAAGGAGAGGAAGGAAGCCGGCATTACTGCGGGGGTAAGGGGGGCACACAGGGGGGCCTGGGCAGCAGGGAGAAACATATGGTGTACAGGGAGTGTGATAGGAGGGAGGGTTACTGGAACCGATCCCCTGTATGGCTCTCTCTGCAGCAGCTGAAAGCCAGCAGGAGGGAATGGAGAAAAAGTCGGCTTTGAGCTGCTGCAGAAAAAGCTATACAATGGATCTATTCCAGTAATTGTGCCCCCCACACCGATCACCCTCCCTGCCCACATCAGATTCACCCAGCTGCCTGGGTTCCCCTGCAGACCAGGGCCCCTCACAGGAGGACTGGTGGAACCCTCTTATCCACAGCCCTGCCGCTGCAACTTCAGCTGCGACATGTGATTTACAAATCGCACCTGAAGTCGCATCCAATGTATTTCTATGGCGCTGTCTTAATCGGTGTGATCCGAAGTAGTGCAATTTCAAAAATAGTTTTCCAATTTCATTGCAACTTGCATTGACTTCTGTTAAATGAAGTCACAAGCCGCAGTGAAATCAAAGCACAGGTAAGCAGAGGGTTTACTTTTGTGCCTCTTATCAGGGCCCACACCAGAGTAGCAGAAACAGATCTTCGTGCTGCATCTGATTCAGCGGGCTCTCCACTCATTCATGCTGCTGTCCCGGTTCAGTCATGGCTACTCCGCACGTCCTCTCCTCCTCCTTCCCGAACACAGCCATGACATGCAGCAGCCAGCAGGACATCATGTGTCCCCGCCCTGCCCAATCAGCGCACTCCTCCCAGTTCCAGCTCAATTCCTTTTTTTTTTTACCTGGAGTAGGAGACTCCAAGTTGCGGTTTTGGTTCTATAGACTTCAATGGAAATGCTGCAGGACAGCAGTAGTGCTTTTTTGCATTTTAAATCTGCCTAGCAACAATAGAAAAAAAATTAAACCCCTCCCCACAAAACACATAAAAAACACACCGCAAACGCCAGAAACGGCTCAAACGCAACCTGCATAGGTGTGAACCTAGCCTTAAGTGATTTCAGGTACCTCCTCGGCTTCAGTGCGGCTTGTTTTCCCTGATTCCAGTGCATGCTCAGTTGCGGCAGGGGATACAGATCCTCATGGGATACAGATCCTCATGCAACACCGGAACTTCATTTGGCTGCTGAGCATGCGCTTGTACCGAGCACCCAAGTGCTTCCGCATGTGACAGTAACCTGAAGGAGTACATTTTTTTATTTTAATTTTTCATTGGGGCCGACGGCTCATTTACTCTCTCAGCAGATGAGTGCGTCACACTGCAATGTCTCTCCCCTCCCAAGTAGATCATCATGAGGGCCTGGAGGCAAGCCAGGGATGGTGGTGGGGGTGGTAAATTCTTTTTTTTTTTTTTTAAAGGACGAGTAGATTGTCATGAGGGCCTGGAGAAAGGCGGGCGGGGTTAATTTTTTTTTTTTTTTCAAGGGACAAGTAGACTGTCATGAGGGCCTGGAGGCAGGGATGGGGGTGTTCATTTTTTTTTTTTTAAAGGACAAGTAGATTGTCATGAGGGCTTGGAGGCAGGCCGGGGAAGGGGGGGTAAATTCTTTTTAATTTTTTTCCAAAAGACGAGCAGATTATCAAGAGGGCCCAGAGGCAGGTGGGGGGGGCGGGAGTTATTTTTTTTTTTTTTTTTTCTTTTTTCAAAGGACATGTAGATTGTCATGAGGGCCTGGAGGCAGGGATGGGGATGTTCATTTTTTTTTTAATGGACAAGTAGATTGTCACGAAGCGCCTGGAAGCAGGCATGGGGGGGGGCGGTAATTTTTTTTACACTGTAAGAAGCGGCAACAGTTAATTTGATATCATTTTACTGATACAGAAATGCAATATTTTCTATTTCTTCTTCTACTTGTTATTATCTGAATAGTAATAAAAGGAATGTGGCCTAATCCTGGATACTTACCAGCCCCTTTGCAATCAGGTAAGCAATGATGGGTAGATGTTGGAAAAGGACTGCCAGGTGAATGGCATTATAGCCTTCGCCATCAATCAGACTCGGATCAGCTCCGTACTTTATCAATAAAATGGCGGCCTGTAGGTGCCCCTGTCTGAGATGGAAGAGAAGAAATAGAGAACCATTTTTTTTTATAAATTGAGTGCAATTAAACTTCATTTTTCAAGACAAGAACAAAAAGTCAACACGTTTCGGGTGGTAAAAATCCCCCCTTCATCAGGGTTTATATACTGGGAGTGACTGAAGATAATATAGGACAACAACAGCAACATAAAAGAATGTGATAATGCTGCCTGAAAGGTGACCAGGATCAGCTTTTTAAGGCAGGCGAGGGGAAGCAGACGCCGCTAGGAACCCACCCCTGGAGTCAAGTGTGTTGACTGTGGGTAAGATGGCCTCAGCAGATCGCTAGCCACGCCCACTGACACATTTCGCCCCTCCCAGTGAGGCTTGGTCACACACGCTTGACTCTAGGGCAGTGTTTCTCAACTCCAGACCTCATGGACCCCCAACAGGTCATGTTTTCAGGATTTCCCTCAGATGAAACAGCTGTGGTAATTACTAAGGCAGTGAAACTGATCAAATCACCTGTGCAAAATAATGGAAATCCTGAAAACATGACCTGTTGGGGGTCCATGAGGACTGGAGTTGAGAAACACTGCTCTAGGGGTTGGTTCCTAGCTGCATCTGCTCCCCCTCACTTCAAGGATACCTGAACAAATCTAGGACACTGCTCCCTTCATTCCTCTTCAGGAGGGGCGATTCCTCTCTTTCAATCTGGCTTCAGATCGGCGCCACTACACAAGGATCAGCATAATCTCATCCTATTTTGTTGCATTTGTTTTCCAGTGATATCAGAGATAGTAAAATAAGTACAGATATTTAGGGAAATTCATGAAGGGTGTTGTAGACACCATTTATGCGGGCCAAAGACAGGTCGAAAATCGGACGATTTTTCGTCCGAAAATAAAAAAAAATCAGCCGATTTTCGCACTGTTAGTGGGTTAATTGGTCGGCCATTTTTCGGGGTTTTGGCACATTTTTCATTTATTGCTCAAGTTGGGAAATTCGCGGCCAATTTTCCCAGCAATGATAGGCAAATCGGCCCGATCGTTTTACCAATAAAAACCTGCACATGAGCCGCGACCTGCAAGAAGAAAAAGAAGAAAAAGAAAAGAATAAGAAAAAGAAGTATAAGAAAAAGAAGAATAAGAAAAAGAAGAGCAGAAGAAGAAGAAGAAAAAGAATAAGAAAAAGAAGAATAAGAAAAAAAGAAATAAAAAAAAGAATAAGCAAAAGAAGAAAAAGAATAAGAAAAAGAAAAAAAAGAAGACTAAGAAAAAGGAGAAAAAGAAAAAGAATAAGAAAAAGAAAAAAAAGAATAAAAAAAGGAGAAAAAGAAAAATAAGATAAAAAAGAAGAAGAAGAAAAAAAAAGATGAATAAGAAAAAGAAGAAGTAAAATAAGAATTCCAGTCCACTATTATATTTTGTATGAAAAATCTTGCGGTTGCAACAATGTATCTATTTGTATCTGAATAAATACATATGGATACAAATGGACACATTGTTGCAACCGCAATAGTTTTTCATGTCAAATATAATAGCGGAGCTCTCTGTAAGGGACAGAAGTAATTAAATGCCAGCCGCAGACGGGACGAAAACCGGACGATTTTTTTACCGTTGGTGGTAACGTCAGCCGATCGAACGACGGATTTTTTTCATTTTTTTTTATTAAAAAAATGGCCGGTTTTGACCCGTCTATGGCCTGCATTAGAATGCTGTCAGGGTGCAGCACCGAAAGTGTCAGTGCTTGCACCCAGTTCATGTGCACCTGTCATGAATCTGTCTGTCTGCATGGAAGAAGTGTCCACATTGGACTGCATTCACTCCCTGGCCACTGCGCTCGTCACACTGACAGACGCATGGCCAGGGAGTTTTGTACTGGGGTGGGCGGAGCCTGATGGAGAACATCAGTCCGCTGTACTTTTAAATGACAACGCATGGCAGTGGCAGATACATATTCAGTTCAGTAGGGGCTTTCGAATCCACCCACTTGTGTGTAAAGCGGACCTGATGTGGAACTAGTCTCTAAGTTCCCCAGTCAGGCTCCGCCCACCCACTGCATTGCCCATGCTCCCTGTATCCTCATTAGCATTTAGCTTTTGTCTCTACCGGCCAACAGCTGAATGTGCCGGGAATACAGCACTGTGCAGGACTCTGTCACATACAATGCCTTGAAAAAGTATTCATACCCCTTGAAATTTTCCACATTTTGTCATGTGACAACCAAAGACGTAAATTTATTTTATTAGATGTGATAGAACAACACAAAGTGGCACATAATTGTGAAGTGGAAGGAAAATTAAAAATGGTTTTCAAAATGTTTTACAAATAAATCTGTGAAAAGTGTGGAGGCATTTGTATTCGGTCCCCCCCGGAGTCAATACTTTGTAGGAACCCCTTTGGCTGCAATTCCAGCTGCAAGTCTTTTTGGGGATGTCTCTTTGCACATCTAGAGAGGGACATTTCTGCCCGTTCTTCTTTGCAGAATCGCTCAAGCTCTGTCAGATTGGATGGAGAGCGTCTGGGAACAGTAACTTTCAGGTCTGGCCACAGATTCTCCATTGGATTTGGGTCTGGACTGTGACTGGGCCATTCTAACACATGAAGATGCTTTGATTGGAACCATTCCATTGCAGCTCTGGCTGAATGTTTCGACTTCACCGTAGTGACACTGTACTACTTGTGGGGGTATTTTTACATGAATTTTTTACATTTATATTTAATTTTTTTATATTATTTGTTTTGTTTGTTTTTTAACATACCGTCACCCTAGCAGTACAGTATTGGCCATAGTGACACTGTACTACTTGTGTGTGTTGAAGATTTTCTTTTTTCTACACCGATTGCTTTTACACCCATATAGGATGTAAAAGCAATCATTTCCCCTTCTCTCTGGCTGCATTCCTGCAGCCATTGAGAAATACTGTGTGAGCTGTGATTGGTCACAACTTGTCACATGGTACAAGGCTGTTGTGAATAACCCTGTACCATGTGATCTCGGTGATCATTCAGAGATTTCACACCTAGTAAGCAATGATGTCAGGAAGTGACATCTTGTTTACTACTATTCATGTGATCACTGATTGGCCAATCAATGATCACATGAATCGGGACATCGCACAGAGGTCCTGTACAACGATCTGTATTCCGCTGTGTCTGTCGAACACAGTGGGCACTGAACGCGGTGCTGTGCGCTCCCAGGGATGCAAGGGGACGTTTAGAAACGTCCACCCGCATTGGCAGCGCTCCTGTCCGGCCGTTTATCGACATGGACTGGACGGGAAGAGGTTAACGTCTCTGGATGTTCCTTAGCTAATTTCCACTTTAAAATATACAATTATCTTTTCCAGATGAGGATTGGGATTCCATGGTGGATAATATATGCAAGAGTTCTAGATTTCTTTCGGTTCGTGAGACGGCCCTTAAGGTTTTAACCAGATGGTATTATACCCCATGAAGACTACATGTATTGTTTCCACAAACGTCCCCTTTATGTTTCCGGGGTTGTGGCCTCACAGGTACTTTGGTTCATATATTCTGGGATTGCCCGAACATATCTTTGATTTGGTATAAGATATCTGAGGTGGCTACCTCACTGTCGGGTACCCCGATACGATTGTCCATACAGACCTGTTTATTGGGGGCCAATATCCCAGGGGTCTCTGATGCCAATCTGAGATTGATACATACAATATGTATAGCCACTTTATGGCCTATTGCCTTACATTGGAGGTCCAATGCTGTACCCTTGGACTCCGTTTTACACAGAATTGATACTGTAATGCTCATGGACCGCATTCATTATACCCTACTGGATAAGATGCACTTATATGATAAAAAATGGGAGTCATGGAGAGATTGTAGACACTTATTGCATGCTGAACAACATTCTCAGTAAAAGTTGCCTGACATGTACTGTTGCCTGATGTATCACTTAACTTATCTTATTGTTCACGTATTTCATGCACTCATAATTTACTCTTTTCCTTTTCTTTTTTTTTTTTTCCCCCTCTCTTTTTTATGTTAATATACTTTTCTGTATTGTACTTTTCAGAAGTGCCTTGTTTTTGCTGAAAGTATCACTTGAAAATGTACTGTTGTTTTACAGTCTACTCATGTATAATAAAATCGTTTGTAAACAAAAAAATATACAATTATTTTTTAAATATATCTTCTCATTGACCCTCTGTATAAAGAATTTAATCTGCAGTGACTTGTCATTTCATGGTGTGTTACAATCAATAAACAATAACGATTGGCCCGTGACTGCAGCAGCTCCATACACAGTGGATGAATAATGAAAGGATTGGCTCAGCCTATGTAAAGGTGACCTCTATTGTGACGGGACAACAGGTCCTTGGTTCTGCCTTCAATGCAAACAGCAGACCTGCAGCTGGCAATTACAACACATGAATTAACAGCAAAGCAGGTGAAATGAGATAAGCCGGGCTCATCTTACAGGAAGAAGCCCAGAATCCGGTTACCTTGGGCTGTGACTCAATGAGGAAGCTGTGGATTTCCCCAATACAATGGATTGTGTCATTACTCAATTAGGGATGCACAGGGAGAGGCAGAAATAACATAGGCCCCATGACTACATGGAGGTGTAATTTGCAAGTTTTTGAAAGGAAGTAGGAATAATGGCCAACAGATTACCAAACAGCAAAACCTAAAGTGGAACTGCAAGGAAACTGAGCACCACAAACCAAAAATGCTATTTAATTCATTGTTAATATTCAGAGCAATCTTCCCCCATCCATGCTTTAGTTTGCTGAGAAATCATTTTGAAAAACACACCCTGGCATTTCTGGCAGTGGCCATCTTAAATAAGGGCAGATGGTTCATATAGCATTTACTTCATGGAATCCATCTGCCCCTAGCTCAGTCATTGGCTGAGCTGAGAACCCTCCTCTCCTGAAGACACCTGGGATGTATGACATAATTTGCCTAGGATCAACATGTATAAATACATAAGAGGGGATATGATCTCCATGTATAATACATAAAGGGGGATATGATCTCCATGTATAATACATAAGGGGGGATATGATCTCCATGTATAATACATAAGGGGGGATATGATCTCCATGTATAATACATAAGGGGGGGGGATATGATCTCCATGTATAATACATAAGGGGGGATATGATCACCATGTATAATACATAAGGGGGGATATGATCTCCATGTATAATACATAAGGGGGGATATGATCTCCATGTATAATACATAAGGGGGATATGATCTCCATGTATAATACATAAGGGGGGATATGATCTCCATGTATAATACATAAGGGGGGATATGATCTCCATGTATAATACATAAGGGGGGATATGATCTCCATGTATAATACATAAGGGGGGATATGATCTCCATGTATAATACATAAGGGGGATATGATCTCCATGTATAATACATAAGGGGGGATATGATCTCCATGTATAATACATAAGGGGGGATATGATCACCATGTATAATACATAAGGGGGATATGATCACCATGTATAATACATAAGGGGGGATATGATCTCCATGTATAATACATAAGGGGGATATGATCTCCATGTATAATACATAAGGGGGGGATATGATCTCCATGTATAATACATAAGGGGGGATATGATCTCCATGTATAATACATAAGGGGGGATATGATCTCCATGTATAAATACATCAGTGGTTCATATAGTGAACTCGGTGTAGAGTTATTCACCCCGAGGTCATGACAGAGGACAAGGGGGCGTTCCGTATTTCCGTTTTTCATCTGTCTGGTTACGGATGAAAAATGGACCCCCATGTATTTCTATGGACTTGTGGATGTAAACGGATGAACATCTTTTTACATCCATTAAGGTCCACATCCGTTAACATCGGTTTTTTTTGAACGGAAGAAAACCCTACTTTTCTTCCGCAAAAAAAAAAACAACGAAACAGCCGAAAAAACGGATCTACACGGATGAAAAACGGATCTACATGGATGAAAAACAGATGTAAACGGATGAAAAACAGATGTAAACTCATCTGTTTTTTTCTTTGAAAAACGTGACTGAACTGAAGAAAAAAAAAAAACGGAACACCCGTGTGAAAGGTCCCTTAACCTCCAAAACACAGAAAGGTTTCTTCACAGTGAGACCTGTGAAAATGTGGAATAGACTCCCTCAAGAGTTGGTTGTGGCCAGCTCAGTGGATTGCTTTAAAAAAGTCCTGGGTTCTCACTTGGACACACAGAATATAACTGGATGTAACATTTATAGGTAAAGTTGATCCAGGGAATATCCGATTGGCTCTCGGAGATCAGGAAGGAATTCTTTTCCCCTGCAGGAGCAAATTGGATCGTGTGTTGCTGTTTTTTTTTTTGCCTTCCTCTGGATCAACTGTGGGTGTAGGATTATAACTTTTTTTTTTTAATGATTGAACTGTATGGACTTTTGTCTTTTTTCAGCCAGACTAACTATGTAACTAAATGTTTGCCTTACAAAAATACATTAAAAAGATTACAGATTTCCTTTAATTAGCCATGTGACACACACATCTATATATATATATATATATATATATATATATATATATATAGACACACATATATACACAATGACAATAGATTCTGGAATCTGTTCAGCCCTGCCTTGGGGGCTTACTAATTACAGAGATAGGAGCTAAAAATAAAAGAAGGGGGGTATGGAGAACAATCCTTCCCTTTTTCTTAGCAAATATCTAGTGTGGTCAGCTATGCTTTGTAATGTATGTACTGATAATGAG